AGGGTGTGAACCACCCATCTCTGCTGTCCAGCTTGTGGGCACATTTTGCAGTCTGGAAGATGCTGAGTCCTGCATCACCTCCCTTGAAACACTTTCTCTCACAGCTAAAGGATGAAGCCTTTGAAGAGACAGAGAAAAACTTCCGGATGCAGGAGCGTCTGATCAAGTCCTTCATCCGGGACCTTTCCCTCTACCTGCAGCATGTCCGGGTGAGGCAGTCTGGGTGTGATGCCACGCCTGTGGGGCTCACCATGCACTGCCCCTCCTGTCTGCGTGGTGTGCCCCAGCAGTACCTCTGGCCACGTCTCCTGCCTCAGCTCTGTGGGGTTGGGTGGTCTGAGCTGCCCTGGGAGCCCCTGCTGGGCAGCAAGCATGGCTCAGCTGTGTCTCCCTGGTGCAGGAGTCAGCTTGTATGAAGGCACTGGCAGCAGGGAGCATGTGGGACCTGTGCACAGAGAAAGGAAGTGGGGACTTGGACCAGTTCCAGAAAGTGAATCGTCTCATCAGTGACCAGCTCTTCTCCAGCTTTGTGAGTGAGGCTGTGCCCCTTTGAGGCCCACCCTGGGGGTCTGCTTCAGATGGGCAGGCCCTGGGAGGCTGCAGGGAGGGTAACCTGGGAGAGCTGTGAGCATTCCTGCTTAGCTCTGCCCTCCTGATAGCTTTGATGCCTGGCAGTTTATGAATGTGCCTGTTAGATACACATTTTTTCAGCCCTACCTGAAATGCTACAGCTCTTTATGCGAATGGCTCAGGTACTTTGCATAGACTTAGCCATGTTGGCACAGTTATATAAGATTATAGAATAACTGCTGTTGGAAGGGACCTCTGGAGCTTCAGTGGGTGCCAGCAGGAGACAGTCACTGTCCTGGGGAGGTTGTGTGCTAGAGAGTGATCTGCTGGCTTTCACAGTGGGAGAGAGCATCTTGTCTTACCTTCTCACTGCACCTCTGCCCACCAGAAAGAGCGGACGGAGCGGCTGGTGAGCTCACCCCTGAGCCAGCTGCTGAGCATGTTTGCGGGGCCCCACAAGCTGGTGCAGAAGCGCTTTGACAAACTCCTCGACTTCCACAACTGCACCGAGCGAGCCGAGAAGCTGAAGGACAAGCGAACGCTGGAGGAGCTGCAGTCAGCCCGCAACAACTACGAGGCCCTCAATGCCCAGCTGCTGGACGAGCTGCCCAAGTTCCTGCGCTTCGCCAAGGAGCTGTTCGCCAGCTGCGTGCGGGGCTATGCCGAGGCACACTGCGACTTCGTGCGCCTGGCCCTGGAGGAGCTCAGACCCCTGCTGTCGGTGGGTTCCTGCAGTGCAGGCAGCGCCCTGGGCTCAGAGCAGCACTAATCTGTGCAGGGTTTCTCCCTGAGGCTCACTGGGACCTGTCACATCGTGGGTGACACTGCTGCTGCAGGTTTCAGGCCACGAGTGACCTGTGGAGGGCTCCCGTGGGATGATGTCAGGGCAGGGATTGTGTAGAGGGCTCTTGGAGCAGTGACAGGAGAGCATTCACCTGGGAGAATCTCAGGTCGCAAGTTTGAGGACAAGTTAGAGCTAAGTCCAGACAGGACGGCAAACCTGGGCCTGATGGAAGTCTCAGGCAGGACTCAGACCCCTGCCATGGTCTACCCTGTAGCTCTTGGCCAGTTCTCCCAGCAGCTGTCACCTAACCAGGATCCCCGATTTTGCTCTGGTTCTAGTTGCTGAAGGTGTCTGGCAGGGAAGGGAACCTCATTGCCATCTTCCAGGATGAGCACAGTCGAGTCCTCCAGCAGCTCCAGGCCTTCACCTTCTTCCCAGAGTCCCAGGCAGGTCCTAGGAAGACCTTTGAAAGGAAGAGCATGGAGCGGCAGTCTGCCCGGCGGCAGCCCCTTGTTGGCCTGGTAAGTTCCCTGTGCCCAGTGTCAGGCCTTGCAGAGCCCAGGACAGCCACTCACACCTGCCTTGTTCCTCTGCAGCCGACCCACTTCCTGCAGTCGGATGACATCCGAGCTGCCCTCCTGGCCCGCTATCCCCCAGAGAGTCTCTTCCAGGCAGACCGCAATTTCAACGCTGCCCAAGACCTGGATGTCTCCCTGTTGGAAGGAGACATTGTGGGTGTCATCAAGAAGAAGGACCCCATGGGCAGCCAGAATCGCTGGCTCATAGACAATGGAGGTAGGTGGCTGTTCCCTGCCCTCGGTGCTTGCTGTGAGTCCCCTCCTCTGGTCTCCCTGTGCCCCAATCTGAGCTCCCTTGCTCTCTCTCTCCGCAGTGACAAAGGGCTTCGTGTACAGCTCCTTTCTGAAGCCCTACAACCCCCGCCGCAGCCAGTCGGACGTCTCTGTGGGCAGCCACTCTTCCAACGAGTCGGAGCACAGCAGCTCCTCTCCCCAGAGCAACGCCACCCTGACCTTCAGCCCCAGTGGTGCGGCCGTCACCTTCACTCAGAAACCCCTGCAGGACTCTGTCTCTCCAGCAGATGTGTACCAGTCCCCACAGTCCCCACTGGAGGTGGACTCCCGGTGGGTGCCCCAGCTTGGCTCTGGTGACAGGACAGCCCCGCTGGCTGCTACGGTGACATCTCAGCACCGCTACAGCTGCAGCCCCAGCTCTCGCAACGGGCACCCCACCAAAGCACATCTCAGACCCACGCCCTCGGTGGAGGACAGAGACTCTGGGCTGGAGAACAGCGAGTCAGAGGGCAACCAGGTGAGTCTTCAGCCACCCTCATGGGGCTGGGGATGCCAAGGGCTAACTGCTTTGTTTGGCTGGGGACTGAATCATCCTCCTCCCTGGCACTGACCAGGAAGAGGTAGGAGGTGGGGTATGAGACCTTTTCTTCACGTCCAGAGACAGAGAACCAGGCTGCAGATGGGGGTGGATAGAGGCCAGGATGGAGCCAGGGCTGTCACTGGGGAGAAGGACAAAAGCCCACGCATCGAGTGCAGTGTAAGATTAAGGTTGTGTGGTGTGACCATCTGACTGATGCTCTCCCCTTTTCTGGCAGATCTACTACGCTCTCTACACCTTCAAAGGCCGAAACACCAATGAACTGAGTGTGTCAGCTAACCAGAGACTCAGGATCCTGCAGTTTGAGGACATCACAGGCAATCAGGAGTGGTGGCTGGCCGAAGCCCACGGGAAGCAGGGCTACGTGCCCTCCAGTTACATCCGGAAGACAGAGTACACGTGAGGCAGCGAACAGAGCCTGCACCCCATGCCTTGTTCCTGCTGGGACTGCTAGGGTCTGGGGGAGGCTGGCCAGCCCTGCAGCCCCCACTGCTTGCCCTTAAGGCTATGCCTCTCACAGCTGTGCAGTGCTCCTGGGCCCCAAACACTGGCTGCCACTGCCCCTTCAGGGGAAGAAGGGTGGGCTGTCCAGGTAGGCAGGAGCAGGCAGTGTGTGTGAGGGCAGGGGTGAGTTCATCTCTGAGGTGTGTTTGAGCCTCCTGTGTTCAGCCAGGAGCAGGGAAGCAAAGCTTGGGGCTGTTGCCTGCCCAGAAGCGTAAGGCTTAAGTCAGGCTGAGGAGCTGCTGTGGATTTAAGTTGTGGAAGGCTAATGCTAAGTTTCTGGAGATTGTCTTTAGTCAAGTAGTATTAAAAGCAACCCAAACTTTGTGAATATGCTCCCTGTGCAGCAGGAGCCTGGTCTCACCTGTCTCTGCAGGACTCGGGGTGGGACATTTACACACTGCCTGGGGAAGCAGCTTTGAGGTTTGCTGGGAGTAGTTGAGCTCCAGGCCTGGGATGTGTATGGCCTCTGAAACCCTTACAACGAAGCCCCCAGCAGGTGCCTTCTCCCAGGGGCTTGGCCTTTCCAGCGTCTGCCACTGCCAGCAGCCATCAGGTTCTCATCTTTCAGGTGAGCCAAAGGCCCAGAACACCTTTTTCAGTGCAGTATTGGCTGTGTCCAGGACCCATCTTTCACTGATGTACCCACCTGGCTGCTCTGGGCTGGGGCTGGGCAAAAGGCAAAGCACAATCTGTCCTCCAGCCTGTTTTTGGGGCTCTAACCAGAATTGCCTCACCTCTGCTTTCCTGCATGGCATTGGAGAGGGAGGGTGCTGACATTCTGGAGTGGCAGGACCATCCATGGGAGGGCTGTGGTGCCTTTTGCTGAGTTGGTGTGTGATACTGCTGCTGCCATGTCCTGAAGGGAAGAGGTTCTCTTCATGGGGTAATGTTTGTATTCCCTTTACTGCTGCTCTGCAAATAAAGATTTGCCCTTGTATATAGAAGGTGCCTTTGCAAGTATTGGGAGAGCTGGGAGGAGTGTCTGGGAAGTGCTGCAGCCTTCATGCAGACCCTCCAAGGCCAGGAAAAACATTTCCCTCTTGGTGGGGTCCAGCATTCTAGTGCCTTGGTGTTTGAGCTCAGCTGCAGCTCAGGCACAAGGAAATCTTCTGTATTAAGATGAAGTGGTTGCACTGCCCTCTTCCCCCAGGTGTGTTACATGACTCTGGGGCTCCAGGGCAGTAGGGGCTGGTTGGGGTGACTGTTTGCCTAAGTAGGCACCTGCTCCCTGCATGAGGAGGTCTGGCCCAAGAACAAGGACTCAAGGGTTTGTCAACAATAACCACCGTACTTTGTGTGTGCATGGCTGTACACAGGCGTGTGCCTGCTGCTCTCCAGCTTGTCTTCACCACTGTGAGGTTTACAGTCTGGAACCACAGCCCAAAATCTGCCCTACGAGTGGCTGTGATAACCTCGTGGAGGGGCTCATTTATCTACAATGCAATCAGAGTGAGCAGTAGCCACAGGGAAGGCAGGCAGGCAGCCCTGGTTTTGCTACAGAGTAGTGTTCTTGCAGGAGTAGAGCTGTGCCCCTCGATTTGGACTGCGCAGCTCTGTGTAACATCTGTTGGCAGATCTCCCTGCCCAAGCACTAGCCAGGTTTAAACCTAAACTGAGGCTTATGTATATGCCTTGACATCAACCTTGTAGTTGGAAGACTACAAGCAATCACAAAAAATAAATAAATTATAACATTAATTCTTAAACTGTAAATTTTATTTCATAACGCTAAAGTATCTCTCAGGTAGATTCACCTGGCATGGTGAAGTACAAAAACTAAGACCACCCCCACTGGATGTCATGATCTCCCTGCCTGGCAGATAGCTTTTACCCTCTATCCTGGAATAAGTTATGCAGCTTCAGACCCTTATGTGCAGGCAGGCATAATGTGGTAGCAAGGTTAACAGCCCACGCAAGTCCAGATGCTTGTTCTGGGCAAGCACAGAAGCCACCCTCTTTGCTTCCCTGCTGCAGCGGGGACAGTTCCTGGGCAGCGTGGCTGTGGGAGACACCAGTGCCTGCTGGGTGAGTGGCAGCAGGAGGAGCTGTCTCACACCCCCAGCCCCTGCAGCACTGCCTACAGGGCCGTGGTTTCTGTAATGGCAATGCCGGCGTCCTTTGCCATCGCAGAGAAGACGCCCTGCTTCACGAGCAGCTCCTCGGGGCTGTCGAATTCCACAATCTGCCCAGCATGCAGCACCATCACCCTGGCAGAAGGGAACAAAAGGCTTCAACTCCCAGGCTCCAAGTGGATAGCTCTGCTGGTGCCAGCACTGCAGGCCCACCAGCCCTCACTCCTAAACCACTTCATGTGGTTCCCCTCTCAGCAGTGGTGAGGCCACAGCCCTCCTCCTCCCTGTGTTACGGGTCACATATAAGGTGTCAACAGCAAATGCTTCTATGGTCTGTTGCTGTAACGAAGGATCCCAAAAAATATTTCTCCCACAAAGGCGTCACTACTATCCTATCCTTACTATCCTTCTGTTCTCTTCACCACTGTAAATTACTGCCCCAGGCCCTGCATCTACCCCTGCCCCTTTGGCTGCATTCTTGCTTAGCTGCTGTCCACCTCTCACCCCATCTGGAGTCCAGATCCCCGTTCCCTTTGCTCTGCAGTAGCGTCCCACAGTACCTGTTGCTGTCCATGATGGTGTGGAGGCGATGTGCGATAGTAAGGACAGTGCAGTCGGCAAACTCACTCCGGATTGTTGTCTGGATTAAATGATCAGTTTCCAGATCTACGGCTGCTGTTGCTTCATCCAGGATGAGGATCTTGGCTTTGCGGAGAAGGGCCCGGGCCAGGCACACCAGCTGCCTCTGCCCAACACTGGGATGAGATGAAGAGCATGAGTTACTAGACCGACTCCAGGGGACCTTCTGCAAGCCTACTGCATCTCGCTGCTCTGAGCCCAGCACTGTCCCTGGCCTTTCCCTGCTGACCATCTGCCACCCTGAGCATCACGTGCCTCAGCGTCTTACTCTCTGGGCCAGCACAGAAGGCTTGGTTCACACTAGCTCCCTAAGACCCCTGACTCCTCAGCCATTTTCTTCCATCTTCACTTCCCAGAAGCTTCTGTGCACCATCCCTGGACAGCCACTTTCCTGGAGGCTGCTTTTCCAGACTGGTCCCTGAGATCTAGAGAAGGGAGGGGAGCTGGGCCTGCATCTACTCCTCTGCTCACCTCAAGTTCTCCCCTCCCTCGCTCACGAGATGCAGCAGCCCCTCAGGAAGGCCTTGCACATATGTCTTCAGGTGAGCCAGCTCCAGGGCCTTCCAGACCTCCTCGTCTGAGTACTGGTCAAAGGGGTCCAGGTTCATCCTCAAGGTTCCAGTGAAGAGCACGGGGTCCTGCCAGAGACGGCATTGTGTTCAGCCCTATCACAGCCATTTAGCAGGGGCAATGGCTCCTGGCCTCCAAGTGTAGCCAGATCCTGCTCACACCACTGCCTGCAGCTGGCAAGGGATGTGGAAACAGCCTGCTCCCAGGCCTTTGGCACGTCCACAGCACCCAGGGACACACTGAGGCCATGCAGTGCCTGCAGGCGCTGTGCAGCAGTGGGATGTAGAAAGGTGGGGATCAGCTCACTTGGGGGATAATGGTGAGGTTGTTGCGCAGGTCATGGAGGCCAATTGTTGCTATGTCCACATCATCGATGATGATCTTCCCTCCAGCCGCCTCCAGCACCCGGAACAGGCAGTTGGTGAGGGAGGATTTTCCAGCCCCGGTCCGGCCCACAACCCCAACCTGTGGAAGCAGCTTTTTAGACCAGCTGACAGGGCTGTAGAATACAGGGCAGATGCTCTCAGTCTGCTGGGCCTTCCTGCCCTTACCATCACTCAGACTGTCTGCTTTGGTTCTTTTCCTGCAGCTCAAATCCCCAGGAGCCACATCCCATCACCATCCCACCCCAGGGCACGGACTGAAGCCGAGGAGAAGAAACTTTAACAGAGTCTCTGTAAAGAGCATAGTGAGGGCAGAGAACCTTCTCAGTGCTCCCAATATTACAGGTGATCCCCTGAAGAACCAGGTCCAGTTCAGGTCGGTAGCGAACTTTGTAATCAATGAACTGGATCTCTCCTCTGCTGGGCCAGCCACGTGGTGGACGCTTTTTTGTCACCCATGGAGCCTGGGGGAGGGCACAGGAGCATTAGGGGGGGTTCACTCTGTGATGCTAACTAGCACCAAGCTGTGCAGCAGATGTTTGCCCAGAGCCCTGGGTTCCTCACCTCATTCTTCACCTTCATGTACTCATGGACCCGCTCCACAGCCACAATGTTTGTCTCCAGCTCCGAAGATGTCCGCACCAGCCAGTTCAGTGTCTGGGTCACCTGCATGGCAGAATCAGAGCATGCAGAACTCAGTGGCACCCACAAACAACCATGTCCCACCTCGGCCCAGGGAATCATCCTGGGATCCTGGGTACGAGCATACCTGGCCTTCCTCCTAATGCTCCACTGCCAAGGCACAGCCCACCTGTCCTCAGCCTTTCAAAAACTTTGCTGCAGCATCTGTGATCCACAGTAGGGCCATATTCCTCCCCCTGGCAGGAAGTATCCCACTCACACTGGGATGGATATGTGCTTCCCTGGCTCTATAGGCACTCCCCAGGTGATGGGACACCCCAGATAATCCCATGGACACCCCAGATAATCCCATGGACACCCCAGATAATCCCATTTCCAAGGATCAGACCTGGTGGCAAGGCAGCATCCTGCCACCAGCACAGAGCTCCCAGAGACAACCCTGTCCTGGAATGAGAAAATGTTTTCAGTGACTCACATTGAGAGCGGAGGAGACAGAAAGACCCACAATGCCGCCCTCCAAAGTGCCCTTTGCAATTACTGCCAGAAGTGCAGAGAAGAAGACCACCAGGCTCCCAACGAACTCCAGACGGATGGCCAGCCACCTGCACCAGGAGAGGGCAGCTGAAGGGCAGTGAGAGAGGCAGGAAGGCATCTGCCTGTGCCCAACTCAGAGCCCACCAGTAATAGCGGCACTGCACCAGCATTCCTCACACCCAGCCATGGGCCCAGTGCTGTGCACACAGCACACAGTGGTACCTGTACACAGCAGGTTCATTTATGTCAGTCCACGACTCACACATAACCTCCTGTGCTGGTAATGCCATGTATCAGAAGAGCCCCAACCATTCAACCCTCATACACCAAAATCGTTTACCAGTAAGATTCAAAACCAGAAAGTGTCTGCATCGTGCTCCTGCTGGGCCTGGAGGATCACCCTCTTTCCAGAACTCACCAAGAGCATCTCAGCCCTTGACTGCACAGCTCACCCTGCCCAGCCTCTGGACACTTCGTAGGGGGGCATACTCTGGCTGTCAAAATCACCCTGAAGTGTCCCATTGTCACAAATGGTGCCCCTATCCTAAACCGCCCCGGTACCTACACAGACCCACAATGCTGAGATCAAGAGGGAGGACTGCAGGATCCCAGGGACCTCTCTTGGGACCCAGAAGCCCCTGGGCAGAAGTGCTGCAGGCTGTTCTGTGGCATAAGTAGTAAAACTCACCTATTAGATATTATCCAGGAATAAACACTTTTCTGATTTATGTCCATGGTGATCTCATTTTGCTTCAGGAACCGTTCTTGGTGTCCATAGGCCCGGATCACAGAAAGGCCTGACACTGTCTCACCAAAGTGGGAGTAGATGGGAGACCTGGTGACAGAGTCTAGACGCCTTAGCTGGCGTGACGTGGAGACATAAAAGCGCTGAAACGAGGGACACAGCTTGGTTACCAACACAAAGCCCAGCAGCCAGGAAGATACTGCTCTCAGCAGATACTTCACTCAAGGCCCAGCTACTCACCAGCACAAAATAGTAGAAGATGCTCAAGGGAACGATAACGACAGCGAAGAATGGAGTGGCCAGGCAGATGACAATCAGTGTGCTAATGATGGCCATGAAACAGGAGAGCCAGCTGCGGAAGGACATGGGAATGGTCTCATCTACCGTGAAGATGTCCTGGAGATATAAAAATGTATAGAGAAGCAGTCAGTGACCCCAGGGAGATAGAGAAGCCCCAAAGGCCCCACACATACAGGGTTCCTACACACTCCTGTGGTAACACAGTGCCAGACACTTGTAAAATATCAGATGATCCTGAATTGGTGTTGTGGTCACAACCTCATTTCTCAGCTTGGGAACAGCTGAGTTAACAGAGAAACTTCCTAGAATATTCCCCTGTTACACAGACCAGCTTTAAGAACTGCATCTTCATCAGGACCTAGGATGCAGGAGCAGTAATTGAAGCAAAAAGGGGGACAGGGTAAACTCCAGGTCCATGCAGGTGCAGCCACATCTCCAGCTGGTCCTCATCCATCTCCTAGCCAGGCACCACATACTCCCTCAACTCAGAGTAAACCCAGGCCCATAGGCCTAATTTTAAGAGAAATTTTTATTCCCAAAAATCAAGAGATGGTACCAAAGGAAGAAGTGGAGTAGCAGCACACTCAAAATTGCCTGTTTGTATTTTCCCTCCTTTCTCATTTTCTCTTTGTTTTTGACCTTCACTTAGATAGAAAAGATTTAGATTTTGCTGGAGGTCTATAACCACAAGGACTTCTCATTGTGGGACATGAGTTCTAGGCTCTTACCTCTCTTAGTAATCTACTATGGACCCTCTCTTTTTCTCCACATCCTACTTACCCAGGTGACCCCAAACATAACACAGTATCCAGGTGTAAGCTCCTCAGAACTGAGCAGAGGAGGTAACAACTTCCTGCCACACTGTCTTTCTAGTATAGCCCAGGATGTGGTTTGGCTCACGGTCAGCCTTGCATCCACCGTGTCCTCCTGGTCCCTTCCTGGCCCTTACCTGGGCTCAGCTGTGCAGCGCTCAACAGGAGCAGGGTTATGCCACTACCCAGCGCTCTGCAGATGTGGTGGAACAAGCACCTTCTCCGTGTTGGGTGCATCCTCTTACCCTGGCAAACCTGTTGACGATGCGGCCGGTGGGGGTGGTGTCGAAGAAGCTCATGGGCGCGCGCAGGATGTTGCTGAGCAGCTGCTGGTGCATGACGCGGGAGGCTCGCATGGTGCCCTGCACAGACAGCATGGTTGCGAAGAGCAGGAAGATTGCTGCAAGGAGAGCACGGGGCTGTCACCAGTTCGTGGGTGACACTGGGCCCAGGCACCCTTTGCCTTTATAGACATGCATCAAGCCAGAAGCTCCGCAGCGAGCCTCTGGGATAATCCTGCATCCCACCTCTTGGGAGGCCTCAGCAACTGTGTCCCAGCACAAGGGAGGAACACTAACCCCACTGGAAAGCCTTGGGCCCTAGCACTATGTCTAATCTGATTAAGGAAAATTATCTTAAACTGAGGGGCAACACAGACTTGGAGCAATTTGTGCTGCTTTCAGACTGGGATGTGTCCACAATTCAGCCACGAACCACAAGGAAGGCAGCAGCAGGCAAATGAACAAAATGCTGGTTCCTCTGCTCCTTAATGCACAGCTGGCTGAAGGCCTTGCAAGTCATATCCCTCCTGGACCACACAAACGAGGTGAGTGGGAACTGCTGTCCTCCCACACTCACCTTGTCCCACCCCCAGTGCCCCAAAGACACCGATCCGCAGGTCCCGCCGCTGAGGGGGATAGGTCTGGTTCTCATAGCGCTTCGAATCGTCCGTCCAGTCACTGAGCCACAGGTTGGATCCCAGGTAGGAGACGTATTGTCCAACGTAGCCCATGACAATCCAGAAGGAAAAGCAAAAGCCAACAGCATGCAGGTACCGCAGGTACATAGAGAACTTCACCTGTGCACCAGTTGAGCCCATCAGACCGCAGGCAATGATGCCCAGCACAGCCTCAGGACCCCACCTTGCTGCCCACAGTGCTCCCCTCCACCAGCCCCAGGCAGCTCTGTCTCCTGCATGTCTCTTGGGTGTGGTGTGGCCACAGGCAGCCCACACCAGCTGCTCTGAGCCACAGTCAGGGTCTGGCAGCATTTAGCCAGGACAGCACAGTGCTTCACCCCTCCATCCTCCTTACCCTGCCAGTTTCCACAGCTTCTTTCTCAATCAGTTGCTGTCCCTTCAGCTTCTTTGGGGGCTCCTCCTGGGCTGCCTTCTGGGAACTGGTGCTCTTTTTACTAAGGCTGCAGGGAGGTGATGAGTACCATTAGTTACCGGGTGTTGGATTGATCCCAATCTCCTGGGGGTCCACCCCTGTGCTCCACTGGGTCTTCAGTGGTAGTCCTCTGGAAAATAATGTCCTAACTGGGGCAGCTTTGAGTGAGCCTTGTGGAAGCACTAGGCATGTACAGCCATTAAATTAAAGCCTCATTCCCAAAAGCAGAACTAGCCATCAGCACGAGTTTCAGGGAAGACTGCAGAGTAAGGCTGTGGCACACTAGTGTGAGTAAAGGCAAAATCAGATGCTCCTGACCCAGAGCAGTTTGTGGTAGGAGCAGGCAGGGAGGCTTCCAGCTGGAACTCCCTAGGAAGCCCCCAGATCCCTGTATCCAAGGGAGCAGTGTGCAGGGCAGGGAAAAGAGCTGAAAGCTCAGGTCATGTCCCACCTGCGACTCAGTTTTCTCCGATGGATGCTGGCCTCTCGCTTCAGGGTCATAGTCACCACATCATCAGGACGCTCATCCATGCAAGGATCAATATCTTCATCAGCCTCCTCTTCATCCCCAGCTAAAGCAACAACTGCAAGCACAGAGATGAGGGAAGGTAGGGTCAGGCACTGAGGAAAGAGCAGATCCCATACACCACATCTCTGCTGCACTCAGCTTCATGCCATACCCTAGGCCTAGGCTGTGTCCTACCACCACATATCACACCTTCTCCAACCCTGCTGCAAGACCAGCACAGCAGGAGAAGGAAGAAATACATCATGCTGAAGGGAGATCTGAGAGGGGATATAGGGCTAAAGGCCTGCACAGAGGCAATCCCTGCTGCTGACTTATCCAGCACCACCAGCCAGACCTCAAGCAAAGATTTGTGCTAGTTTAGTAGGTGCAACATCTGTTAGGTCTCATCACTCCAGCTCAGAAGCATCAACTTGAGCAGGTGGAGATGGGCCTTGTGAAGACATGCTGGGAATGGCCAGGCTGCAGCTGGACAACTGAGCCCTTCAAGGGTAAGCATCCACCTGACCTGACACCACTCCTCCCCATAGCACTGGGGGACATGATAAAGATGAAATATTATCCAGTGAGATGTTTAGAACAAACCAAAGGATCTTTCTGACCCCAGCATCACAAAAATATGGAGCCTGCTGCTACATGAAATTTTGGGACCCATAATAAATGAACTAAAAAGGGAGTAAAAAATTTAAACCAGTCCTGTGCTGGATATTCAACATAATGTCTGAACCCAAATCTGAATCAGGAAGTTATTGTGCGGCTGACTGCCAAAAGCTGAGAAGGATTCACAGCAGCCACCATTGGTGCCTGGGCTGGATAGGGCCAGGTCAGGCTGACAGATCAGATCTTCATATTCCCAACATAAATGCACGGCCACTCTGTCACAGCCCCACTGTGCTCTCAGTACCTGCAGTATTTTCCTCTGAAACATCCTCCTCCTGCTTTCCATACAAGTTCAGGAACTGGGAAAAGGCCCCCTTGTTTGCAAGCAGGGTGCTGTAGGAGCCATGCTCAGACACTGCTCCTGCTGCCAGCACCACGATGTTATCAACCTGGGGCAGGAAACTGACACTGTGCGTCACCAAGATCCGTGTCTGCAACAAAGGGGTTGCAGGGTAGTGATCATCAGAGAGCCCCTCATCCCCAGCCATGCCTTTGCAGACTCTCCATCTCTCACTGGGGGACTTGTCTGCTTATCAGTGCCTGGCTGTGAGGACACAGGGTACCCCTCTCTTGAGGCCTCTCCTGCCTGCTGCAGCCCCATGTGAAAACTATGGGATTCCTCTCTGTCCTCAGGCTTCCTTGGAAAGCCAACACCACACCAGTGCCACGCCTGCCTGGCTGGGTGCTGGGTTGGAGGCTATGGGTACTCACTCCTGCCTGGCTGGGTGCTGGGTTGGAGGCTATGGGTACTCACTCCTGCCTGGCTGGGTGCTGGGTTGGAGGCTATGGGTACTCACTCCTGCCTGGCTGGGTGCTGGGTTGGAGGCTATGGGTACTCACTCCTGCCTGGCTGGGTGCTGGGTTGGAGGCTATGGGTACTCACTCCTGCCTGGCTGGGTGCTGGGTTGGAGGCTATGGGTACTCACTCCTGCCTGGCTGGGTGCTGGGTTGGAGGCTATGGGTACTCACCTTCTTTTGCAGCAGCCCTTTTGGGCCCAGCACGTGCTGGAAGAGGTACTTGCCCACGTGGGCATCCACAGCAGACAGCGGATCATCCAGGACGTAGATGTCTGCATTGCTGTACACCGCTCGGGCCAGGCTGACCCGCTGCTTCTGGCCCCCACTCAGGTTGATTCCCTGGAAGGGAAGGACCTCCCTGGAAATGGGGCTGGCACAGGGCAACAGCTCTGACCTCTGCTGCAGGTGCTATCGCAAACCCACAGTGCCCAGGGCTGATACCTTCTCTCCAATCTCTGTCTGGTCACCTGCAGGCAGCAATTCCAGGTCTGGAAGGAGAGCGCAGGCCTTGATGACCTGCTGATACCTGGCTTCGTCCACTTCTGACCCGAAAATGATGTTGTCTTTCAGTGTGGCATTCTGGATCCAGGCCTGCTGGGGGACATAGGCCAGGGAGCCCTGGAAGGAGAGACAAGAACAGCTAGCTGTCAGAGATCAGCTGCCTGCAGTCACTGACACCTCCTGCAGCCTGTTCTTCCCCTGGGCCACCACACTGGGACAGTACTGCCCTACTTCCTGCTGAGCCCCCAGGCAGCCCCGTGCACCAGTTGGCTCCTCTCACCTGGATGTTGATGTGTCCCTTGATATTCTCCATCTCCCCAAGCATGGCTGACACCAATGAAGATTTGCCTGAGCCCACAGCCCCCACCACAGCCACCAGGCTCCCAGGTGCGATGTCCAGGGTGACACTGCAAAGACATGAGGGCTGAGGAAGCAACACTGCCAGGTCACCCCTCAGTTCCTGTGTGGCACTAGCACAGAGCAGTGTCTCTGGGACACTCATGTCTAGCAGCACTGTGAGAGGTGATTGCCCTCCCCAGTTAATAACACAGAAAGCCTCCCCCTCCCCACTTCTCTGCCCCGATGTGGCTCAGAGCACTCACTCTCTTATGGCAGCGTTGCCATCCTGCTCCCAGGCAAAGGTGGCCTCTGAGAAATGCACAGCACTGCCTGGCAGAGAGACATGTCCCTCAGAGAGGGGAAAGCCCAGGGCTGAGCCAGCCTGAGACCCACAGGGATAATCTGGAGGTTCACCTGCCTTCAATGGGGTTGTGGTGGATTGCTGAGGTGTCCAGGTCTTCTCCACTCAGGTAGCGCTCCAGCCTCGCAGTTGACACGTTGGTCTGCCATGGTAGAAAGGGGATGAGGATGGTACATGGGCATGGGGCAGGAGCCCCATAAGCAGAGCACCACATCACAATGCCCACCCAACCTCTGGGCCCCAAACCTGCGTTATGCATGTGAGTCCTGTCCCACCCCACTACAGCAGAGTCCTGTGCACTGACCCCTGGGGGTCCATCACACATGAGCCCCATGTGCTGGTTTGGACAGAGGTCATAGGATCCCCCTACACGCCCTGCCCTATGTGAGGCCTGACCTGCACCAGGGAGGAGATGACCATGGGCAGTGTGGACATGGGGAAGCGCAGCACATTGAAAAGGGAGATGGCAGTAAAGGCCTTCTGTGCATCCAAGATGTTGCTCTCATCCACAAGCACATAGACACCAAAGCTTGCCAAGGAGACCTAGGACAGATAGCAGGGAAAGCCACCATCAGTGTGTTTGTGTGCAGCCCAGACCCTCACACTGCCCCAAGGCCTCAGCAGTGCCTCTGTGCTGGGGACCTGTTCCCCTCTTGCTTCCGTTCTCCTTTGGGCCGCATTTCACCACCCTGATGAGACCCCTTTCCACCACAGCTCTCCTGCCAGCAGCCAGAACCATAATCTCTATCGCAGGCACCCACCAGCCAGCCCCTTCCTCGCTGCAGAAACACTCCAGCTGAGGTTCCAAATATTTCCCATCCCCTTGGACACAGCCCAGCCCCAGCTCAAAGGAAGGTACACCCTCCCCAGGGCTGTTGTCACTCACCAGGGAGGGGGCACACGTGAACACGAAGACAGACACTGACTGCAGGTAACCGAAGTTCACCAAGTTCTTGAGCTCAAGTGCCCGGATCTCATTAACTCGCTTCTCAAAGGAGGGCTCCCAGGCAAAAAGCTTCAGGATCTGCACAATGAGCAGGGTGAGCAGATGCTGGCCTCACAGGAATGCTCACCTCCACACTGGGCTCACTGGTGGCCAGCACCTCCATCACCAGCTCCTGGCTTGGCCACTGCATCTCCCCTCTCCTGTCCTGCTTATAGCATTTCCCCACTGCACTCCCACTCCCTCAGTCTCAGCTTACAGGTCACTGCCAGCTCCTCTGCCACAATGCCACTACCACAGCCATCTAGGAAACACTCAGAAAAACACTTTTTCAGCTCCCAAGCCTTAGTCCAAGTATCCAGAGATCCTCCCCAACCAACTTTAGAAAAGATGAGGCAGCCAAGGGAATTATTGAGACCCAGGCACAGGACCCTTAAGCTAGACTAACACCAGTGCTGTAGGGTTATACATGTGCTGCCTCCAGGTACAGTGCACCAAGAAGAGGGGTGCAGCAGCTGCCTGGAGAATCTCCACTCCACTGCTCACCTTGATTCCATTCAGGATTTCAGTCATTATTTTCATGCGTCCATCCTTGTTCTTCATGTTCCTCTCCTACAAACAGAAGAGCCAGACATCACGTAAGCAAACAGCAGCTTCCCCTTGGAAATACATCTGGGCTGCCACAGGGAAGGGAAGGATGGGCTCCACAGCCCAGAGAAGTCATCCCACAAATTTGAGCCTGTGGCTCTGGACAAGCTGGGGTAAAACACCACCCTGCTATCAGGTAGAAGCTAAAGCTTTATCTTACAGTTGGAAATATCTCATTTTTAGCCCTCAAGGCTGTGCCCAGTCTGGTTCAAGTTCAGCTGTGATGGTAGAACAGATCTCACCTGTCTCCTACTCATGGTAGCTGATCACCTCTTGCTCAGGCTAGAGACACCCCCAGCCCAAGTGAGATCAACTTCATTGGCTGGGAAAGATCCACAGCATAAAAGCAAAGGGTATGGAGTGTGGAAAATGAGGGAGGGGAGCAACAGTGGGGTTGGATGTGGAAGAACAGGGAGGATATTGCACCCACCACTGACCTGAATGGTTTTGGCCTTGGCAACCAGGAACGCATTTATGGGGAGGAGCAGCACCATGGTTGCAATGCCAGCCAAGACAGAGGGGCCCAGCTCTCCCCAGAGGAAGATGATGGACAGGATAATTTGCAGGGGGGATGACCACAGATGGTGAATAAAGTTGGCCAGGTCCATGAACCTCTGGGCATCAGCTGACATCAGATTAACAGTCTCTCCCACCGTGGATTCCTTGCGGGTGGCTCCGGACATGGTGAGCGACTAGAAAGAGAAAGCACAGTCAGCACAGGCCAGCCTGGGAGCAGCCCTGCTGCCAGCAGCATGGCTCAGAGCAGGAAATTAGCAGACCAGGCTGAAACCACTTCTGGGTTTGCTCCTGGTGCCTCTGTACTGGCCACCAGTGCTCTCCTCACTGCCTGCACACCTGGAACCACTGGATGCTGGTTGCAAGGACAAACACCCCTGTGCAGGAAGCCTATTGGCCCCTGTCCCAGGTGTTGCAGTGCTCTGAAAAGAAACCTCCCTTAGCCTCTGGTAGCTGTCAAACACAGCAGCAGCACCCAGGCCCCAAGCAGAACTAGGGCTCACAGTGCCCTCAGTGCTGGGTGGGTGTCCCCCAAGCTCTGCCTTCTGAAGAGGAAAGTGCACACACCCCAGATGGGACAGGCAACCAATGATTTTATCCACAGCCCAGCTTGAAGGAAGCCAACAGGGACGATGACAGGACCATACAGACCTTCTTGTAGATGGCAGCAATGAGACTGGCTCGCACATTTATGCCAAGCTGGAAGCACAAGCTGAAGTGCTGCTGCAGGCAGAGGGACTGGATCAGCGACGTCAGGAACAGCAGGATGGCATACAAATAGCCTTGCCAGGCAAAGGAATCCTCATCTGACACAAAGGCAATCAGCAGCCTGGTGGGGAAAGAAGCTCATTAGACACACACCCCAGTGAGAGAGAGCCAAGCAGGATGCTCCAAGTGAATGCAGGGAGAGCATCCTCACAAGGGTGGTGAGCAAAACCCTGCCCCAGAGAGTTGGCTCGATGGTCAGCAAGCTGGGAACCCTGTTCTGCCAGAGACACGGCAGAGGGTCTCTAATGTAAGATCATGCACAGAGACTGTGCTGCTCTGCAAAACAAACTGGGGAGGCCCTGCTGGGCTGAGCTGCACTGACTCATGGAGGGCCACAAAAAAGAGGTGGGACTGTCTCCAGGGAGGGAGCAGGTGACAGGACGCAAGAGAGCAAGATATTACACATAAGAGCTGGCAGCCAGCTCAGATCAGGTCTTTGTTAAACTGTATCCCAGCACATTCTCCCATTTTTGGTGAGGGCACAAAATGTCCCCAGGGTCTGTGGCTGGGAGAGGCACACACATATAGAGATGGTGGGGTTGGATACAGTGCACACACTGGGAGGTGGTGGGCTGGGTGCAAAGTCAGGACAGAGACAAAGGACTCACTTCAGCAGCTGGGGGCTGACAAACACAAGTGCATCATGCACCAACTTGAATGCCACTGCTAGCAGGAGATTCCGCTGGAAGGTCTTGCCCAGGGTTTTCATCAACCAGCCCTTGGGGTAATCCTTGGGAGGGCCTGAGTGATTGTCATCTCCCTTCTTCTTCTTCTTCTTCTTTGGCTGCTTCTCCTCCTAGAGGGAAGCCCACATAGAAGTGAGGGAGCTGGCTGTGCAGGCATCCTGCATCTGGAAGGATGCCTCAGGGCAGCACCTCACAGACCCCAGACCAGGTATCCTGAATGAAGCCTTAGCTTTAGCTCCTGTCACATTCCCTTTCACTGACCCCTGCTTATGTCATACACACCCTGGACTAACACCTTCTCTTTTGTACCAAAGACAATTGTTAAAACCCAAACCAGCTTGAACCTCTCAGGTTAAAAATCAGGCAAACATTGTGAAGAATCTGAGGCCAGGGGTGGTCACAGGATGATGTTCACTCTGACCTCATTGATGGCAAGTATCTGAGGTAGATAGACATAAGGGAATGGCTTGTACTGTAGATTTGAGGGTGGTTCCTGTCTTTATGTAAGGCAGAAAAAGATGGAGACTTTGTCGGTCTCTCAAAATATGGGGATCTGCCAAGGACATGACAGGAAGACCCTGTCATGGGTTCCCCTATCCTTGCCCATGGTCCTGCAGGATCAAAGAAGGGAAAACTCAGCAAAGAGAGCTGCAGGGAGATGAGGTGACCCTACTCTACCTGAGGTTGGAGCTGGACGTCTCCGTCTCACACAAGGCCAAGAGTAGGAATGGATTTACCAGCACCAGGATGTCTTGACTCTGGGCCTTGCTCATGCTGTTCCCATAGTCTGGGTCACCTTCCCGGCGTCTCTTCTTGCGTTTCCGTTTCTCCATTTCTGCTCTGGCCTTCTGCATCGAAGTCTTCATGTTCTTCTCAAAAGCAGTGTAAAGAGCCTTTGTCTTGTCTTTGTCTTGCAATTCCCAGACATCCTCTATCTCCAAAGGCTTGCGATAGCCCTTGAAAACAGTGCTGTGGGACAAATAAATCCCACAATACTTGTTGGAGACTCCTTGCTGCAAATGCAGAGCTTTCACACCTGTCCTGGTCCCAGGCTCAGGCTGCACAGGCTGTACCCAATGTGGTGCCTCTCCCAGGTAACTCCAAGCAGCCTGTGCTGCAGGCTCCCCTGAGGCATCCCTGCATTTTGCCAGCCTGACCTCCCTCAGAGCCCTGCTCACCTGCTGTACCATTCGAAGGTGATGGAGCTCAGGACGGAGGCTGTCACCTCTGGGTTCTATGGTACAAAGCAAAGGGGGTACTGAGAGATTCTTTATGCTGGGGGATGGTTTTGACAAAAGCTGATTTAGCATCCCCCAGCCATTAAAAGGAGCCTCATAGGTTTCAAACCATGCCAGCTACAGGCCCAGAAGCCTCAGCTCAGAGCCAGCAGCAGCCCACCCTGGACACACATGCAGATGCCCCATGCTGCAGGCTCCAGCTCTTGCTGGGTCCTGTGCTGAAGTCCTCAGGTCTTCCCTAGGAGCCTGGAGCCTGCATGGAGCCTGCCCTGCCCCACACAATGCTCAGGATGTGGTGCCCCAAACCCACTCCCATGTAGTCCTCACACCTTCTTTGTGATTTCCTTTGTTTCTGGGGCAATATCGGAGAAGCCTGAGACAAGGAAGAGCAGCAGTTGGAGTCCGTAGGAGATGAAGAAAAGGATAAACCGTGGCAGGTCAGAGATTGGTTCCTGCAGAAATTGAAAGGCCAGGGTTGCTGCTGGGAGCTGTCTCAAGGCCTCTGGTACTCAGAGACAAGATCCATCCCCTGGCTAAGCCAAACAGAGCAGTGCAAAACTCGCTCTGAGTCCTGGATCAGCTTCCCTTTACCACTTCTCCCTGCTTCTCCCTGACCTCCTCCCATGTTTAAGGGAAGAAATTAGTCCTGGAGGGCTTATACTTCCTCAAAGAGACAGGATGAATTCAAACAGCAATTGCTTCTCAGGTCTTTTCTGGTTCCCTAAGGTCCCCAGGGCAGCTGGGACCTCAGTGACACCACAAAGAGCTTGTCAAGAGAAGAGTATGAAGAAGCTTTCTTTGGAAACAGAACAAGACCATGGGGAAGCACAGAGCTTCCTGTCAAACCCAACCTGCAGGGCTTTCCGGACGAGGGACTGGAATGGCAGTATCCCACAGAGAAGGGACAGTGTCCAGAAGCAGAAAAGCACCCCTGAATCTCTGCACAAGCAGAAGCGTCGTGCATCGTGGATCAGCAGGACCATGATCTGGGGGAAAGAAAATCAGTCAGAGCTGCAGGACTAGGTCTGGCTCTAAAGGTGGCTTTGGAGCATGTGTCCTGGGATGTCAGCACACATGATCTGCTGGGATTCACTGCCTTGGGTACCCTGAACACACCATCAACCCTTCATAAGCTTCAGAATTAATTATATGGGGCAAAGGTTTATTTCTGGAAGACATAAGATCAGGTTTGAATGTACCCTCACATTACAGCAGGGCACTATTACTCTTTCTGGCTGTTGTCACTCCAGATTCTCAGACATATCAAGCCATGAGGGGTCACACCCTGTCTCCTGCACCTTGCCTCCAAACCTGCAACTGAACCCAGATCACGTTCCAGCAGTACAGCCTCTCTGGGCAGTCCCCTTGCCTTATCATCTCACATGGATTCTGCATATGAAACTAAATGACATGACAAAATAAGAATGAAAGCAAATGAGGGTGCTATTTTGCTTTTAAGTGCAGCTCTTGAGCATTTGTTAAGACTGTTAGAATACCCTATGTCTCACACAAGATGTCTGTAACTTTCATGCACATATTCCATCAAGCCAATAGCCACTAGGTCCCCTTTAGCCAGCTTTCTCCTCTGGGCATCCCGTGGTACTTCCTGGCTCTGCACAAAACCGAGCAGCAATCTTTAGGAAGCTGGGAGACATCAGAGCAGCAAGCCATGGTCTGATGTTCACACTGCAAAATCAGTCCTGTGAAACCCACACTGCTCCTAGTAAAGGTTTTGTCAGAGAGCTCAGCTACACTTGCAGGCATTGAATCATCCCAGTTTTAAGGATAACAGCAGTTACAGCAGTACATCCAGGCACCTGCCCTCAACATATCTCCCTCATGCACCACCCATGCAGGTTTGGGGCTAGTCCTACCCAAATTCCAGGCTACCCTTCCCCTGTGGACACAGCTTCCCACTGATCTCTGTGCTAGAGAAGTCTTGTGCTGCTTGGTGCTGCAGTCTCACCCTATCCCTGGTGACACACTGACGTTCATGACTGAGTCCTTACCCAGGTGACGATGTACAGGCTGGGGTTGGTGTATTGGACAGCTGGCACAGCATCCTGCTCAGCATCCTCTACAAAGGCCAGGGCCAACCCCGCCACTGCTGTCAGCATCAGCAGAACAGCCAGCACCTGCAGGGAGAGAGGGCCAGCCCATTGTGGACACTGAGAACCACTGGGAGACAACAGAGTTTGGCATAAAATACACCCATACATCCATACACCCTTTTCAACCCAGACTGAGCCTGGGAGAGCTTTCAACCCTGTGAATGTGCCACAGTTCCACAGGAGCACTGCCATCATTTTAAATCTGGAAGATAACAGCCCACAAGACGAGAAGCCCCAATACACACTCTGCCCTCGCTCCCAGTGCATTCCTCCCTGTTACACTGTCCCAGATATTCCTCCTGATGGACTCCCCCTTACATTTCTGTCACAGATGGTCCCCTATCCCATTGCTCCTTCTGTCCTACACTCCTCATCTTTCCATCCCACACCTAACTGTAGCAGAGTCTTTCCACTCATACCACTAACACCTCAGGCTGCTCCAGCCTGTCATCTGTGCCCCTTAATCTCCACTCTACCTGTTTGATGATGTAGAGTTTGGTCACAGAGGATTTCTTGGCCCTGGATTTGCACATGGGCAGGAGCTGCCATGGGGCCAAAATCCAGAAGAAGCCAAGGGGTACCCAGACCAACACAGTCTGCTGGAAGCACACAGGCAGGTCAGCATCCGGACGAGCAAGGTAGGAATCATTCTGGAGCAGCAAGGACAGAACACCAAGTCACTCATGATGGCTTGACTCTCACTTGGCACACAGGACAAGAGACAACACTCCTATAGGTCCTGCCCACCCAGCTCCACCCCACTGCATCCCCCCTTCAACACCCACCCTCCTGGCCGAGTATTTCAGCACTCAGCCAAGGTCTGAACGATATCCCTATTCCCAGCTCTCTGCCTGAATGTGGGATGGCCATCCCTTGTTGGAGCCAAGCCAGCAGAAGCAGCTGAAGCCAAATCATTCCCCAGAAGTCCATACAGGGTGTCCTGTGTTCCCGGGGGGGCGAAAACAGGACAGAGCTCAGGTGCCATTGCCTCGGTGTCTGGTGAACACCATGCAGGCAGTGCACAGCACTCGGTGCCGTGGCACTCCTAGATAAACCCCAGAACCTCTGCTGACCACTGGCAGTTGGGTCACTGGCAGGACAAGCTATGAGCCTTGGAATCCACAGCTCTTCCCCAGGAGAACAGTCAAGGACAGAACAGACAATGGGGATAACACAGCCACTCACCCAGAAGACGGAGCCGCAGAACTTCTCCAGGGCTGCTGACATAGCTCAGGGGAGAAGAAACGGCAGCTCCTTCCTCTCGCTCTGCCCAGCTGAGAGACCTGAGCAGATGCTTGGGATAAAAGTCCCCCCACACCCTCAAGTGGTCTTGGGACAAAACTCCTGATGACACACAGTTATTTATTAACTCGGTGCTATTGCACAACCCCACAACCCAACGCAGTGACCAAAAGGGCTAGGGAAGCTGCACAGGCCCAGGAGAGGGGAGGAGAGGAAAACACAAGAAAGAGATCAAAGGGGAGATACAGGAAAGTCACAGAGTCACTGCAGGACACCACAGCCATTGCTCATAAACCATAGACTTGATCAGTGCACACCAACAGACACAAACTCACCTGGACCTGCTAAAGACATCACTTTGATGCAACGGACCTCTCTGGTGAGAAGACTGCTGAATGCCGACAAAAAGACCAGCAACAACAGCTGGTCCCACAGTGGCTGCTGCCCCCTGGCAAGGGGGCCCATGACACCAGCAGTGCCCCACACTTGGGGATCTGCAGTGTCTGGCAGCTGAGCTGACCACACGCACTGCTCTGAGTCCTCAGGATCTGGGTTCCTATTACTAATTTCCAGCTTGAAGAGCCTAAAGATTTTCCAAACCACTTTTGCTTTTTTCTTTCCCACACGTCCATGTTGTCTGTGTTATGGCAGCTGGTTGACTGCAAAACCCCAAAGAGACTTTGAATCTTCATTCTAAAGTAACCCCCAACATCTGAGACAGAAAGAGGATGATTCCTGAGGAGAGTGATTGCCACTGAATCCTTGTTGCTTAGAAAGGCCTAGGTGTGACAGGAACATGTGGGGATGGTGCTACTAAGGCTGGAAATGGATTTGCTTTATGACGTGTGGTCTTGAAGAACAAAAAGGGGATATAAAGGTAGATAAAAGGGGACAGTAGGGTGACTGCAATGATTGTGCTGTCTCATTGTACACAGAGTTACAAGATAACTCAGAAGTCAAGGGTGACACAATGAGTAACTGCTCAGGAAGCATCAATACCAAAGAAAGGCTCAATGTCCAACTCAGTGGTTAATTATTAGCAGATTTTCTGATTAAATTCACGTGTTTTTGTAAATAAAACTATTCCTAGTGCCAGGTCCAGAACCAATACACTGCTCATGAGAGCAGTAAACTGATACAATGAGTAAGAAGTGAATGGAGCAGTTACTCAGCCCTTCTCCATCTGGACTGCTGATGTGATTCTTCTTTCTACACTGGCACAGGTGTTCTCTAGCCTTGCTCAAAACCACTTGTAGCACTGCTGCCAAGGTGGCCACTTATGACATCTTCCTATATAATGCCCTGTCCCATTGCTTGTCTCAGTTTTTAATACAGGTCACAGCTCATCCTCACCCTGTCTTTGGTCTCTCACTCAGAGTTGAAGCCCTAAGTACAGGGTTCTGCTCTTTTTGATATTCAGAGCAAGCATAACCCACTTTCTCTATCCTCACACCCTCCTAAAAACCCACAAAGCTTTACTGTCCTTCAGCTCCTTCCATAAATCTTCCTCCACTAAAATACCCAGAAAACATTCACTGAGACCAAGATAATGAAAGTAGTAGCACGTCTTTGGCCAGCAATATCGGTTTCCCCTGTGCTCCCCCATCTTTATGCATCTATTGTACAGCATAACTTTTCAAAACTAGGCATTGATTTGTGCCTGTCTCACACAGGGTCTGGTCCAGAGGTCTCTGCCAGGCACTCGACCAAATTCCTCCAGCACTCACTGCTCTGAACGATTTGCTTTTCTGCCTTGTCATGCTCTTACCTCATGTTTTTGAACCTGTTTTTGAGGTAGCTGGGTCAGCAGAATATTCATCTAAATTGAGCTATCAGTATCATAATCATGGCCATGACTCCTGAAATCAACACAGGTCATGAACTCTTAAAGTGGGTATTCTAAACTCTTATTAACCATAACCACAAATTATGTGATTATATGACTATGCAGTCATTCCTTCCCAGCTCCTGTTAAGAACTTAAGTTCCCAAGGTGCTTTGGGAGACATCAATACCTCTGGGACAAAACTGAATGTGAAAATTGTGAAAAGATGGATGTAGTCTTTAAAATGAAAATATGTAGTCTTGATGGTAGGTTTGCAATAACGTGATTCTATTTAAGGTGACAAAGGTGCTGCCACCTTGTCAAGTATCACATTTTTTCCATACATCCTCACAGGCTGTAAGCTATTGCCAAGATATTGGGAAGAGAAATCTGTACCCTGCATTTGCTTCCTGAAGTCCACTATCTCAGCTGAGGGAGGGATTATCTTCAGCTTTGTGATCTTTCACAGAAGAGCAGGTAACAAGGAGAGAGGTGCTTTACCTCTCAGATCTCTACTCTTCTAATGAAAATTAAAATCTTTCACTGGGTATTTTACAGAGTAACTGAAATGAGTCTGAGGCTTCAATCCTGAATAGGCAGCAATGACCTAACAGACACATTCCCCAAGCACTGTCTGGAAAACAAGCAGTTTATGCTTTATGTTGGGACAAGGACCTGGAAACTCCCTTAGGAAAAGCAGCTTGTCCTTCCAAGAAATCTCATCATACACCACCCTTGCCTCCAAGCACTGAGGACCTACAGCCCAGGATGTCTCACAGCTCCCTCACCTAATCAGTCAGGTGCTTCTCACTACTTACAGCTGCTGCATTGCTAAAACCCACCTATCCCACTGGCCTTGTTTCCCAGCTGTGGCTATGATGTTCCTCACCCTGGTATTCTGTGTGTGATTATATTCTCTGGCACAGCAGGGTCCTGATTAATTCAGGCTATGCAACATGGGTCACTGTCTGACCCAAAAACATAAATAAACTCTAGAAAAGCACAGCAAGAGGGGGGGCAGCTGCAGTGTTTATTTGACAATCACATGCAGTGCTACACAATTCAGTCCCCCTACCTGCTCGCCTCCCTTCCTCCCAAATGCTGCCAAACAGCTGTTGCTGCAACATCTGGGAATGAGTCCTTTTATTTTAAATGGCCAACCTAAGTTTCCAGGCCAGGGACTTCAGGGGAAGCCAAGGGAAGAGGTGTCAGGCTTCATCACCTAGTGCACATCCTCTGCAGCCTGAGGACGGAAGCAGTACCCATCTGTCCGTGTGCCAGGGCAGACCCTGGGCTCTCAGCGTTCTTGTCCCAGCACGGTGCCATCCACTACAGAATGTTCTTGGCAATGGCGTTCAGGGTCCTCACTTTGGCCACATCTGCCACCTTGATGGAGTACTCGGGGGCAGAGAAGGACGCTCCCATGGCAACGTTGGGATTTCTGTCAGGAAAACCAGTGATTAGTGGTGATCTGCTGGTGATACAGATGAGTAAGATCCACCAAGAAAAATACTCCCATATTTCCTGTAGCTTCAGCATTGGCCAAAGATGGTGCCACCCAAACCAAAGATGGGACAGTAATAGAAAGAACAATAATCCAAAGGAGTGTAGACCTATGGGCAAATACAATCCATTCTTGACTCATTTCTCAGAAGCACATCCCACTGGCTTCCCAAATCTTACATTCTTATGTTAAAAGTCTAAGAAAACTACACCACAACCTGCCTTCCCAAGTGCCCTCAAAACTCCTAAGGCAGCAGTAGCAAGAGAAATGTCCCAAGGCTCTGCTTCTGCATGGAACTCATGTCCATGTGAGGAGCACTGCTGGATTCATGCACTGCAGAATACAATGTCAGGCACCATGATCCAAAATGTAAAAGCAAAACTAGCACTCAGGAAGCTGTTTGAAATTTCTGCCAGTTCTACAAACTCATGTTCACATTCATATAGGCTTTCCCTCACTGAGTTCTGCTAAAAAATAGACACAAATAATCAGTTACCTGAACTTCATCCCTGAGTCCCGAGCTGAGCGAGCAGAGCAGTGAAACTCAGAAGCGGTGGAGCCTTCCAGAATCCTCTGCAGGTTGCGCTCCGTGATGCCACCTCCTGGTGGGAACAAGCCCGATGTCACACACTGAGCAGATAACACTATTCCACACCTGACATCACCCGGGGACCTCACCACTAAGGGACAGGAGCCATATAAACTGAAGGGAAAAAACATCCCTTGGAACAACAGAGACCCAGGAACATGAAAAGGGATATGAGACGCCTTGGTTTATGTTCTCCTACAGATCTAGAGCTGTCCCCAAATCCAGGGAGCAATAGCTGCAGGGCTCTGTTGTCCCCAACAGGCAGCATGGTCTTTACTCACACCGGGACAGGAGCTGCTGCTCTTCCCAGGCAGCTGGCTCAGAAAGCCAGATCAGAGAGTGGATTCCAGGGCAAGAGGCTAGCAAGGAAAGGCTAGGGATTGCAGAACCTGGTACAGATGACAAAAAAAACATTACCTGGCACTACCACAATTCTGCCCTTTGCCTGAAAAAAGAATAACACACGTCAATGATATTATCAAGGACTACATCCACACATGCATTTGTGAGGCAGCAAAGAAACCACACATGCAGCACTTTCCATAAGCTCATGGATGTCACAATGTTTCACAATTTGTGTGCTTCACCCATCCTTTTTGTACTGTTCATGTTTTAAAATGAAAAATGGAAAAAACTTTCAGTTACTTTTCAGTTACAGCTTGGACAACCTGTCAGTATTCCCTCCTACCTCTCCATCCCACCTCTCAGGTACCCGTTGCACTTTCCTAAAAGGAAGTGTGAGAAACTTAGCAGGCACCTCACTCTGCTGTTTGCGTGGACTCATCACACCTGCTGTTGAAACCAACACCCGCCACCCCCCCTGAATCTGCAAGCAAGCACCCAACCAGTTTTTGCTGTGGGAGACTTCAGGGCCCAGCTTACATGGACTTGGAAAAACAGATTAAATCTGTTGTAAGAGAGGGAAGGCAAGCACTCCTTGGCAGAAGTCCCTTGCAGAAATGGAGGACACCATAAAGCAGCTGCCTGCAGGCAGTGCCAGGGAGCAGCCACAGTAACCCAGGAGAGCACAGCAAACACTCACCTGCTCTGCAAGCCTCTTAATCAATGACAATCCTTCCAGTGCTGAGCTGTCACAGCCACTCGTCAACACCCGCTCAAACCCCAGGGAAATCAGGGTCTCCAGTGCCACCAGAGGGTCATGCACCATGTCAAAGGCTGAGGGACCAGAACAACAGCTCAGAAATCGCTCAGTTCATTGTGCTCAAACCCTGTCCCTCAGCCAACTCCCCCGAAGGCAGTGATAGGAAGGGTCCTCTGCTCACACCCTGGATTTACAGCTCCTGACTGTAACACTCCCCTTGCAGCAGTGCCAGGGCCACCATACTCAGCTGCTCAGACACCTCCTCTCTCACAGGGCAATGAGACAGCTCCTAAACCTGAGCCCCCTGGACCTTTGACCTTGTGGGGAATAGCACAGCCTGCAGAGCTTTCGCTCTCCAAAGAACAGCCAAAGAAGTTCAAGCTCAGCTCCCTTCCAGCCCCACCTTCCCCCAGCAGTGGGACACAGACTGGACCCTGCCCAGAGCCACTGTCCCTGGAAACTCACCGCGGTGAAATGTGACTGGCAGTGGACGACAGACGGCTGCAAAAAGAAGACATATGGTCAGTCAGGGCTGGCACAGAGTCCCTCATGCTAGAACCAGAAATATACACGACACAGCAGAGGGCAAAGGCTTCTCAAGCCATTCCTGGGGAGCTCAGAAGAGTCCCCATTCTTGCTGGGAACAATGCTGTTTATCCAGGTTTTTTCATGGGGAAGAGATCTTCTGCCCTTTGAGAAGGCAACAAACCTTTGTTTTTATGGGTAACACTAAAATTCCCCATCTCATCTGGAAAATGCAGAACCCTCATTCCCACCACAGACGACTTTCTCTGCAGGAAGGAAGTAGGGAAGTTGTATCATCTACCTGGGGAAAGGACAGGACCATTGGTCTTTGGAAGCAGGAGAGCTGATTTTTGTGATTTCTTTTACTACCTACAATTTCTGCTCTCAGACCACAGCAAACTTCACCAGAGGAGTTCTATTTACTGAGCAAAGCTCATTTATTTCTACAAAAAGATATCCACCTGGTCCCTGCCCTGGAAACAGCAGAGCACACGTTGGCCTAGTACAGCCAAGTCCTGGCAAGACCCTTTTCCTTTGCTGCGCTCCTTACAGCACATTCATCTTCATATGAGAACCTCAGCACCACATCACCAGGGAAAGGCCCAGCCCTCTTTAGCTTTGGCTGTAGCTCCCAATAAATATGCAGAAAGAAAGGGAATTTGCTTCCACATGTTTGTGGTCTGGACTAATAATCTCCCACTGCAGCTTCAGTAGCTTTCCACATGCTCACACCTCTCCCTTGTAATCTTTTCTCCCTGTGTGTTTTAAGAGAGAAAAATTAAGATGAACTGCCAGCTACACACAAGGCCAAAGTCCAGGAGATACATACCCTAGACACCTGTAGCAAAGGCATAAGGAAAAGAACAAAGGACAAAGAAAATGAGGGAGAGATTTCAACAGCTGAATGCCTCTAGAGCAGCTCACTTAAGTGTTCTTTGCTATTATGCCCCAGGTGGCCTCAAACTCTGTGTGAATGGCTTGGGGACTGTAGTCCTCTGTCCGCAAAGTTTTTAAACTACTTACTGTCTCACAGGTATGGCAGGAAATTAAATCTTAAAAGGTGTAAAGAGATGGCAAAACCGCAGACAGGATATGCAGACCAAAGCCCTCTGTACAGTTCTACGGCATCAGCCGGAACAGCACTACAACCCTGGCACAGCACAGAGCTCTGCCTGGAGGCACCCTCACCCAGCAGCGCCGTGCAGAGCTCCGTGTCGATGCGCCCGTCCTCGGTGAGGGCCCCGAACACCAGCCCGTCAGCACCGTGCAGCTTGGCCAGGCGGATGTCGGCTTTCATCACCTCCACCTCGCGGTCCGAGTACAGGAAATCCCCGCCGCGGGGCCGGATCATGACGAACACCGGGACCCGCACGCATTGCTTCACCACCTGCAGCAGCCCTGCCGGCGGGACAGGGCCGGCTCAGCACCCGCCGCGGCAGCTCCGGCCCCGCGGCGGGCGGGACGGGACCGGGCGCGGGGAGGGAGCCGAGCGGGACACAGGGGAGCGAAAGGAGACCGACAGGGAACGAGGCTCACCCATGCTCGGGGTGGTCCCTCCTTCCACGAGGCCCGCGCACAGCTCGATGCGCCCGGCACCTGCGGAGAGGCGCGTCAGAACCGGCCCCGCCGCGCTGTCGCCCCCTCCCGCGAGGCCCCCGAGCCTTACCTCCGCGCTCCGCGTTGACGGCGGACTCCACCGAGTCCACGCACACCTCCATGAGGAACCCATCGTCCATGCCTGCGGGACGGGAGCGGCACGATCACCCCGGACCGCCCCATGGCTCCCGCCCGGGCCGCACCGGCCCCGCCGCGGGCCCGCCTCGCTTCCGCCTCAGGCCCCGCCCCCCCGCCCGCGCTTCCGGGCCCGCCCCCTCGCGGCCCGGGCCCGCGCCGCTCGTTGGCGCGAGGGCGGGCGCGCGGGCGGGCGGAGGTGCGGGACGAGAGCCCGGCGCGCCCACGCCGGCGCGCGGCGCGTGAAAGCCCCGCCCCCCGAGCGCCTCGGCCCCGCCCCCGCCGGCGCGCGGGCCCCGCCCCCGTCCCGCACGCGCCCTCATCACCTGTGCTGGCGGCGCGCGGGGGTCGCTGCTCTGCGCTGCCGGTCACGCGCCGCGCGATCGTCATGGCGACGGCCGGGCGGGTCCGGAAGTGCTCGTCCTGCGCTTCCGGCGGCGACACTTCCGGGGTGGCTCGGGATGCTGCGAGCGGCGCGCGGCGGGGCCCGGCGGCTGCTGTGGGGCGGGCCCGCACCGCCACCGCCACCCCCGGCACACGGCCGCCTCCCCCCGCGGCTCTGCCTTCCACGCCGCCTGCTCCAACAGGCGCCCCAGCCCGCAGTGCCGCCGCCCGCCGTGGGGCGATGGCTCCTGGTTTGCAGCGGTGCCGTGGCCGGTGCCGTGGTGCTGGGCGGCGTCACCAGGTGAGCGCGGCATCCCCAGCCCCGCCGGGAGGGGCGCACAGCGGGTCCCTGGAGGCCGCCGTCCGTGTCTGCCCTGCGGTCCGCGCCGCCGGTGTCCCTCTGCGGCTGTCCCCACACCGAGAGCCACCCCGAGAGAGCCTCTGAGAGCTCCTCTGGTGTCTGCCCGTCTTGGCTGCAAGGGGACATGGTGGGATGGGGCTGGGACTAGCAGGGAGACTGTTCATAGTCTGTTGATGCCACTGGGGGGCAACTCTTAGACATTTATAGTCGTTTTAGGTCTGGTCATTCACAGACTCTGATCTCCATCATGTTTCTAGTTGTCTAGTTGTTAAGGATTGTCTGAACAAGGGTTTTAAGACTTACCATAGAACCACAGAATATCCTGACTTGGAAGGGTCCCACAAGGACCATCCAAGTCCCATCTCCTGGGTTGTGCAGCCAACAGCTCTCACTTCAGTCCAGTAGATTTGCTTACTGTCAGGGCATTGTGCCTGTTCATATCTCTGCTCCCAGGCTGACAGAATCAGGCCTTTCTATGGTCGACTGGCACCTGGTGAAGGAGATGAAACCCCCCCGAACACAGCAGGAGTGGGAAGCCGAGTTCCAGAAGTACCAGCAGTTCCCAGAATTTAAAATGTGAGTGTGCAAAACTGGAAGGAGGGTGGGCTGAGAGCATCAGTCCTGCACCTGAGCCACGCATAAAACTAATGTAAGGAGGAAAATGTTTTCTGGTGTCTGCGGGAAGGCACATAAAGCCTGCCTGGTGGTGGCTCCTCTGTTCCCTGCCTTTCTCTGAGGAAGGTGATTCCATGTTGTGCAAAGTTCAGTGCGGGGCTGTGAAACAATTGCTTTGTTGTCCCTTAACAGCCTGAACCACGACATGACACTGCCAGAGTTCAAGTTCATTTGGTACATGGAGTACTCGCACCGCATGTGGGGCCGTGTTGTGGGCCTGGCCTACATCCTGCCTGCTGCCTACTTCTGGCACCGGGGCTGGCTCAGCCGGCCCCTCAAGGGCTGTGTCCTCGCACTCTGTGGGCTGGTCTGCTTCCAGGTGAGAGCTCTGCAGCCACAGGGATTAGTGACAGCATCTGAGTATCACAGAATGACCTTAAACATCATCTAGTTTTAACCTCCCAACCAGGGATACCTTTCATTAGACTAGTTTGCTTAGAGCTCCATCCAACCTGATCAGGGATGGGGCATCCACAACTTCTCTGGGAAACCTGTTCCAGTTCCCACCACCCTTACATCGCAGAATTTTTGCTTGATATCTGATCCTACCCTTTGTCATTTTGATATCTTCTGATCCAGCATAACTAAGACAGTGGGATTCATGATAGCTTGGTGTCAGTGACACCATGACAGTGTGTCAGTCCTGGTAGGTAGTTGAATGTAGAGGAAACAAATTGCTTTGCCCCTAATGTTTATCCCATTTTAGTAGCTGCTGCTGTCCTGTCTGGCCCCAAGCCCTCTCCTGTTTTGTTAGGGGCTGCTGGGATGGTACATGGTGAAGAGTGGGCTGGAAGAGAAGCCAGACTCCTACGACATCCCTCGGGTCAGTCAGTACCGTCTGGCAGCACACCTGGGCTCTGCACTGGTCCTGTACTCTGCCAGCCTGTGGACAGGTCTGTCTTTGCTGCTTCCACAACACAAGGTATGGAGCAGTGTGTCAGGATTTGAAAGCCCAGGGCAATGTCAGTTCAGAGGGTTGGGGTGTGATGTGAAGGTAAGGTAAGGATGTGAAGGCTGGTGGTGCTTCTCTTACAGTCTCTGTTCCTGATTCTGATCTAATACTTACAGTATTACAAAACAGTTACTTACAGTGTTACAAAATACCCATTCTGTAAACTTCTTGGGTGATGGGACACTTGCTTCGGCAAGTGCTGTTCGCGTCAAAAGTGATTAGTTTCAGAATTTGTGGAAGCTCAGCCAGGGGTGTGCCTGGCTGGGCTAAATGGTTTGTGCCAGTAACTGTCCAGGTGCCACTTCAGTTTCTGAACAGAGCTGGACTTGATTAGCTGTGGTTTTAAGGGACCACTGAAGTGCGGCTGCTGTGTGGCGGTCTGTAAAATCCCCCTGTAAAACACAGGCCAACCCTTTTGCCTTTGTATATAGTGAAGGCTTTTCTTAGCTGCTGCAAACAGCACTGGAAATGCCTTACTATTCTAATTTTTATTCTTATTATTACTTTTTTTTTTTTTTAAATTTTTTTTTTATTTTACAGTTGCCAGAAACCAAACAGCTCCTTCGCTTGAAACAATATGCTCATGGCACTACAGCTCTCATTTTTCTTACTGCTCTTTCAGGTAAAGCTCTTACTTTCTGCTGTCCAATTTGTGACTCATTCCTCTCTGCTGGTTTGGTTTTTTTCTTCTGGTCTGGTGGGGACTCTGACCAACCCCATCCATTCTCTGGGAAAACTACTGCTATCAGGGATCTTGGAGTCAAGAACCTCCTCATTGGTCTTTCCTGGACAGGTGGAGATGCACTTTCCAGCCGGCCTGTGCTGTGTGACTCTTTATATGTTGCTAAAAGAAATTCAGGATCAAGATGAGCTCTTGAATGAGAGCTGTGCAACCTGTCTACTCTGGTTGTCTCATTTTCTACTCTGGAATTGCAGGTGCCTTTGTGGCAGGGCTGGATGCTGGCCTTGTGTACAATTCCTTCCCCAAAATGGGGGAGCGCTGGATCCCAGATGATCTCCTTGCCTTCTCCCCCGTACTGAGAAATATTTTTGAGAATCCTACAACTGTACAGTTTGATCACAGGATCTTGGTAAGTGCTGTCTTCCTGATATGTCTGGGCTGCTTCTTGGTTGCCTCCTGCAGCCAAGCTGTCTTCTTTGGGCTGTGGCTCTGTCAGCTTGAGTGATTTCTAGGGTGTCCAAAGGGCCTGAGAGCATCTTACCAGTTTGCTTCTGCAGGAAGAGGAAGTTTAGCATTGTTACTTATTTTCAGTGTGGCCTTCCTCCTTAAGGAGGTCTTCCTCCTGCGCAAGTAACACAATTTGTTTCTCTGAGTCTCCTTTTCCATAACGTGAGCTACAGTGTGGGGTGGCCCTTGCTATTGAAATGTCTGGGAAAGCTATGTGAAATAAAACTTGGAAATCCTGATAATGAATGCTTTCTCCAGCATTTCTGAACTTGTTTTGCACAGTAGTGCCCTGTGAATATATGTCAGCTAGTTAGAGCAATCCGGATATTAAATACCACTGGCAGCACTGCTGTGAACTAAGCTGTGGCTAAGACTAAAAAAAGAAAGATTAAGCTGGATCACCTAGGGTGCCCTGCACAGCAAGATTATGCTGGTGAACTATAGATGAGGGGTGGAAATGAGATCAGTTTTCCAGATGACAGCTGGGGAGAGGGCAGACACAATCTCTAATGACTTGAATCAGTGAGGAAAAGCTGTTGAAAACTAGAGCGTTAGTTTGGAGCAAAATAAAAGTCTCCATAACTTCACTTAAATTTCAGGGTTGTTAACCTGATGGCATGGGAGCTCTAGGATTTGGTCATGGCCATTAATATATTTCTTTAGTTAAATATTGCTCTCACAATTTCTTTTAATGTTTGGAAGACATAGCCAAAGACCACTGCGCCCATTTCCCTTGAACTTTCATTGAAAGGTGGTTGTTTCCCTTCCCTTCTGTAGGGAATTGCCTCTGTCACAGCTGTCACGGCACTGTATCTCTTCTCGAGGAAGATCCCACTCCCTCGAAGGACTAGGATGGCTGTGACTTCCTTACTGGCTGTAGCTTGCATGCAGGTACTGCCCTTATTTTTTCCCTACTCCTTTGTAGCACATTCACCAGAGCTGACCCCACTTGGATCTATGCTAGCTCCAAGAGGCCGGAGCTGAGAGGTGCAGCTCCCTAGGCCCCACACCTTACCATACTGTATGCACACTCTGAACTCGGGGTGGCTTATGGTGTGGCCATGAGCCTTTCTAACACCACACTTTGTGCTGCAAATGGTATCAGTGGTGCATCCACAACTGCTCTTACCTCTTCTCCCTTCTTGGCAGGTGGGCCTGGGCATCAGTACCTTGCTGCTTTATGTCCCTACACCTCTGGCTGCTACACACCAGTCGGGCTCCCTGGCCCTGCTCAGCATGGCACTGTGGCTCATGAGCGAGCTCCGGAGAGTTCCCAAGTAACGCCCCTGCGGGAGAACCCTCCCGGGGAGCCGCACCGCCGGACCCCGAGCCCCGGGTGCGCAGGGGGATGTGCGCCCAGCCGGGCTGGCGCGGGAGGCGGCGGCGGGTGTGAGTGCGAACTTTGTAACATAAAGGAATTTTATGAAGCGGTTGTGTCTGGCTGGCTGCTCCTTTGCGGAGCGATGCGCGGAGGGACGCGGGAGCCGGGCCGAGCCGATCCGGGCCGAGCCGATCCGGGCCGAGCGTCTCCGCCAATGGGAGGGGGCGGTGGCGCCGGCGCGGCGCGCTCCGGCCGCGGATTGGCGGCGTGGCGCGGCAGTGGGCGGGGCGCTGTCCGGTACGGAGCGGCCATGACGGCGCACAGCTTCGCGCTGCCGCTCGTCCTCTTCTCCGCCTTCTGGGGCCTCGTGGGCATCGCCGCCCCCTGGTTCGTGCCCAAGGGGCCGAACCGCGGGTGAGTGGGGGCTCGGGGGGTACCGCGGTCGGGGGATCCGGAGCTGGGCCTTCCTGTGCTAACGCCGGTGTCTCCGCAGGGTGATCATCACGATGCTGGTCACCAC